TCTGGGGTCTTAAAGGCTTGAAGGTAAACAAGTGTCCATCTAGCTCAGAAGCAACAAAGCCCACATGGAAGAAGCACACCAGCCTGTGTGACCGCAAGGTGTTGATAGAATCAGGTATCAGGCTTCAAAGAACAAAAAAATCATATCATTGTGAATGAGGGGGAGTGCAGAATGGGGACCCAAAGCCCATCTGTAGGCAACTGGACATCCCCTTACAGAAGGGCTGCGGGGAGGAGATGAGCCAGTCAGGGAGCAGTATAGCACCGATGAAACATACAACTTTCCTCTAGTTCCTAAATACTTCCTGCCTGCCCTCCCCCCCACTATCATGATCCCAATTCTACCTTACAAATCTAGGTAGACCAGAGGATGTACACTGGTGCAGATCAGAGCTAGAAACACAATCCAAGACTGATAAATCCCTCAGGACCAACAATGAGAGTACAGATACTAGGAGGAGAAGGGGAAGGGGTGGGGGGGTAGGGGGAGGGAGAATCAAACACAATGATCTACATATAACCCCCTCCCTGGGGGACAGACAACAGAAAATTGGGTGAAGGGTGACATTGGACAGTGTAAGACATGAAAAAAAAAATTATAAATAATCAAAGGTTCCTGAGGGAAGGAAGTTGGGGGAGGGAGGGGATGAAACTAAGGAGCTGATAGCAAGGGCTCAAGTAGAAAGAAAATGTTTTGAGAATGATGATGGCAACAAATGTGCTCGACACAATGGATGGATGGATGGGTTGTGATAAGAGTTGTATGAGCCCCTAATAAAATGATTAAAAAATGTAAAAAATTTAAAAAAATAGAAATATTTATTAAGCAAAAATATATTTTAAAAGAAACCACCTTGGCCTGGATTGAAAAAAGAAGGCCTTTTGAAACAAGATACAAAAAGAACTGACCGTGAAGATAGGAAAGACTAAATATTATGATACTGATTTTTAACACTTTTATTTATAGAATCCATAAATAAAGTAAAATCATTTTCTAAATATGGGGGTAGGTATCTACTACAACATAGATAATACATAAGAGAATAATATCCATAATACCTAAAGAATTAAATTACCTGAAATAGGAGAGGAAATAAGCAAATCATTTGAAAAATGTGCAGTGAAAGAAATAAATGTCTAACAAACACAAGAGCTCATAAAATAAAGAATAAGAAAAAATGCTCAATGTAATAGTAATGTGGAAAAGGGCACACAAATGGCAATGAAATCCCATTTAACATCTAGAAGCCTGAAAACTTTGAAGTCTGTCATAGTCAGAGTTTTTAAAACTTGGAATTTTTTAAACTCCCAACCCCAGTTTGTGATATAAATTGGTACAGTTTTCCGAAGGGTAATTTGGCATTATGCAGTTAGAATGATGAGGCATATACTCCTTTCTATTAAGCCTACACCCAGTTTTAAACACATTTTTGACTCTAACAGATACGCTTAAGAGGGCATATAAAGTAACGCTTATTTGATACCAATCTTTTCTAGTCATTAATAACAGAAAGAGCCTACAAATCCATCAGCAGAAACACTTTATAAACATTCACAAGCGTTTTAAGTTTGAATCACTGAAATACCTGCAGAAACATTGTAAAGCATTATACTTAACCTTACGCTACAGTTTGTTTTCTGATTCTGAGTACGGAGTCATTTAAATATCTGAAGCCATGTTCTGAAGTGCCATTCCACTCCTACTTTGCTCTCTCCGTGACCAACTAGAATCTCTGAATATAGACGTGGATGAATCTTTAGCTCGAAAAAAATGAGATTTTTTGTTTGCTTTTAAAATATTTTAAGGTCAATTGCTGCAGTATCTTCACAGATAATTAATTTGCCTGGTAGTAATTAAGGAAATGTTATTTTCCTTCTCACTCAGAAGAAAAGTCTACAGTGAGCATCTTTTCATAAGATAAAGTGCAGGCAATCTTCATTTCACAAATGCACAAATAATAGCCAATATAAATAGAAAATATTCATAATATGCATCATTCCATTAATCAGATGTTCTCATTTACCTTTATATTCTAAGTGAAATCCAGTGTAACTAACAGATCCATCACTCCGAAAAGCCAGATGCATGGTATTTGAACTGCTTTCTATTCTCTCCGGTAGTTTGCTGTCTTGAAAACTCCCAATCAGTGGGCTATTACTGTCTGGCCCATCATAAATATAGAGGAAGTCATAGTTTGGCTCTATGCTAAAACTGGAGACATAAAAAAAGAAAGAGAGACCAAAGGAAATAAGAATGATGATTATCATGCAGGTTTTAAGCCTACTAATCAATATTTTAAAAAATAACAACACAACTTATTTTATAAAACAAGCTCATTTGAAAAGTCATTAGACAATAGCACAGTAAATATCAACACCAAGTCAGCCATGCAAAAAGAACGTTTCATACATATTGATATTTTTTCTGTCAGCCACTGTCATTTCGTCTGCAGGGAATACAAATAATTGTAAAGACAGGAGCGTAGCTAGTGAGAAGAGCGCAGATCCTGCTGCAAACTAGCCTTTCCACTCTGCCGTCCACCCCTTTTAGGCACGAACATATCCATGCTACATACCCTTGCACAAATGAGTCTGTATTAGTAAAGTGTGGGAAATATGTATTAAAAAATAATTTTGATCATAAAAATACAATAATTTTTCTATAGCAATGATACTGTTTATTTTGACCCTTCACATTTTATCTGCATTTTTGCTATTTTAAAGTTCAATTCTAAATATCAGACTTCAAAGCAAAGTTGAACTATAAAATTTTCATTTAAATTAGCCAAATAAAGCACTCCATATTGTATTAGGTATTCTTTCTCCTGAAATTTTACGTGCATATTTTTCTCTACTTTGTTTCTTAGAATGTAATGAATGAGAAATCAAATCACTACACTGTTTGTTCAAATTAGATAGAGTGTGAATAAGAGCATTTTCATATGTAAATGCCACAAATATTTTAAGTACTCCAAAATTTGCATAACGTGTCTAAATAACCTTCAAAGGTTTGAGAATTTTCCTACAGTGATTATAGAATGCACATTTTTAGAAGGCAGAAACTATATAATTAATCTGCCTCTATATTACCTAGTATACATTAGCATAAAAACATTTGGGCTCATTTGGGTCAGTAAAACTCAACCGGTATATTATATAAAATATAAATACACTTTCAAAAATATTCACTTGCTCTGGCCAATAATCCTCTAGTATAGGAAGGAATTGCTATTTTCATTTTCTCAGTGAGTACATGAAAGCCCTAAAAGAAGCTGTCGTGAAGACTGAATGCTAAATGAAGAATTCTCTTGCAGCAGGAGACTAGTCTATGGCTAACATAATTATTATCAGGTCATTACTTCCAACTGGTAGTACCTAAACAAAATGAAAAAAATTCCATGTATTTTCTTTTTTTGTCAAATTTTTATGCATTTAGATATTTTTTCTTTGTATTGTTTAGCAGAGCTTTCTTATGGTGCAAATAGTGCATAGCAATTGCTAATCCTTTCTTTTGTTTTGTTTTGTTTGTGTACTAAGCCAGGAGCTTGCGCACACCTTTGGCAAAAAGAGCACACCACGTGCTCCTACTGGCTGTGATCTGATTATTCCAAATGAAGATAATCTCTATTTAGAAACTGTTTGTGTTGGGATACTCAACTGTCCCACTGTAATCCTTACAGAATGAATTAGGTTAGATTTTGGTGATAGCATGAATTGGCATCTTGTGAAGAAGCAGAAACTCATTCAAATAAATAATTTATCGATTTACACAAATGGAAGTGTCAGAGTTAGGACTCAAACTAAAGTGCCCTCTTTTCCCACAAAGAAAGCTGTACCACAATTACTGCAGTAAATTAACCTTAAACATTACACGGCTACACAAATTACTTGTATGTAAACATTGGGTAACCACATAAAATTCTATAATGGCACCAGTTTTGCTGGTACATCACACAGAAATGACCAAATGTGGGATACAAAAAGGCTTTTCCCTAGTTTGTGTCCCCCAAATATATACCAAATCTAAGAAGCTGCTTGCCGGTACATGGTGGGAGGTCAGATGCATGGAGCCATTCTCGATAAAGCAGTGGTTCTCAATCTGCAGGTCATGACCCCTTTGGGGGTCCAATGATCCTCCTTTCACAGGAAAATTACAGTTATGAAGTAGCAACGAAAATAATTTTATGGTTTGGGGGTCACCACAACATGAGGAACTGAATTAAAGGGTCTTGGCATTAGGAAGCTTGAGACCCACTGCCCTAAAGGCATTCAAACCTTCAGAGCAACGGATGCTACTGTTTATCCCACCACTGGTGGAGCTCACTCCTTGCTGTTAAGGACAGTGGATTTTGCTTTCCCTGGAAGCTCAGAATAAGTCAAACCACCAGCTCAAGGACAATCAAGGTTAGACTGCCATCATGAATCTAGGATCCGCCCATCTTGTCACATGTTGACCTTTAATCCCTCCTCTTCCTGTAGATCATCCTCCTATTGCTGTAGTGCCTATAGTACAACCCCTTCCTGTGACACATAGGTCATTACCTTTAATCAGGGGGTTTGCACACACACACACACACACACACACACACACACACACACACGCGCGCGCACCCCCAAAGATATATAAGTCTGGGTTAGAAATAAATCTCTCCTCCTCTCACCTCCACATGGGCCATCAAGAGGGGTTGAGTGTGAGCACGGCTACCCTGAAATGTGTCTGACCCTTCATTTTATCTTCTCTCAGCTCTCCTATTCTCTATAACTTTACTATAATCTTTATATATTATATAGTATAACTGTATAATTCCACCTAGGGACCCATGATATATTGTTAGGGGCTGGTTACCCTGATAATCAAGCAAATTCTTTTTCAGTTTAACCTACTGAGACCACCAAAAAGGAAAGGAGCTTCAGGTGTGGGTCTTCTAACCCCAATGCTGGTGCCACAGCTAGAGATTTATAGATGTTGCAGAAAGATTTGTGGTTGTACACACGTAGGAGGAAAAAACTAGGAAAGTCTGACCTTTAATATTGAAGTTTGGGAAAAAACTAAATTTTGAAGCAGTGATGGTAAGGGCAGGGAGTAGGGAAAGATTATAAAGCTAATAGCCTTCATGAGAGTCAATAAACCTCTGATGCTTTTTAACATGTTTTCCCTCTGCTGGAATCTTCTGGGCTAGCTCAATTACTGCCCATGAGATCTGCTTTGTCATCAATCCTACTAGTTAAGACTAGATAAACTGTTAACCACCTCAAAATTGCATCACAATAGTATTGAGATTTGTGAAAATTAAAACCATGCATAGAAATTAAAGGTTCTTTTTCAAATTAAAAGTTTTATGCATTTTTTGATCTACTGCAAATGCTAGTATAAAATTATTTACAAAGATTTTTTGCCAAAGGTTATATATTTGAACTTACCTGATAAATGCTAAGGAGATAACATAGTCTGAATTGACGGTGATCATCCAGTCACAGTCCCTGCTATGGGGATAAGGATGAGGAAAATTTGGCGAGAGAATAAAGCCCGAAGATCCTGTTAAATTGCCTCCACAAGGTGCTGTAAGTGAAGCAAGCAAACAAACTTAAGTTATGAATAAAATTCAGTAGCTATTAGCATTTGTGAGGTTTTGTAAAGCCCAATGTCTTATGATCCTGGATACTTGGATCCAACCAAACTCATTGTCATGGAGGATCTCAGCTCAGCAGCCCTGTATCTGACTGAGGCTCTGTGTCTTTACAGGAGCCAGACAGCCTCAGGTGGCAGAGCGGCCAATGAGTTTGGATCTTGGGGTTGCCACACTTACTGGACAGGGCAGCCATGACTCTTTCAGATATTTGCATACTGTGCAGTATCTCAAGGAAGATTTTATCTGTTTTACTAGTTCCCAAAGAAAAAAGCAAACATTTTCTCTTCATTTTTAGTATTATTTTATTTCATGTATAGTTATGGGAAATATAGGTAAAGACGCTTTCTCGAAAGTTTTGGCATGGTGGGTGGGGGCTAGAATTTTTTCTTCACAAAAATAAATAAATAAATAAAGCAAAAATGAGGCCACTAGTAATAAGTGTAACAATAGGATATGTTATTTCTCATTTTCATGTCTTTCTCTGAAACATTTTACTAAATTCATGGAGAAAGATTTTGATACAAGTTAATGAGAGAGAATGGATAGTTATCTAAGGACTTAAAGCACTTTACAATAAAAATACTTATTGTGAAAGAAAATAGGCAGTTATGATATTTATTGCTAACCTAAACAAAGATTTTTTTTTTAATTCCGTTAAATTTGGAGAGCAGATTCTTGTTCAGGGGACTATTGTTGAAGTCTGCTTTGTAAGTTACTGTCCAGAAAATAATTTATTACAGAGTCAGCAGCATGAGGAAAAAAATTAAATTAAGATATAGAGGTCTCTGCTGCTGGCATGAGGAAGTAGGGGATGTACTCCTACGCACATGCATGCATGCATACATACATACATATGCACATGAGAGATTGATCATCTGATGATCTCATGCCATCTCCTACACGTAACCAGCAAATAAGCACTTCAGCCTTCTGCTCTTGCTTCCAGGCTGAAAGCACAGTTTTCTCAAAAATACTTTATGCATCAACTACAAGGCAAACCAGCTTCTTCTGACAGCATTAAACCGTTTGTTTTGTTTAGAAGAGCTGGTTCTGTTTCCTGTGTTCAGATGTGCAAAATACACCATAATTTGGTTATGTTGCCATCGAAATCATGTAGGTCCACTATTTTCCGCTTTTCTGCTACGTAGCTTTAGTTCTTCTCAGAAAATGCCTTCCACTCCAATTATGTTGGAGATATTTAGTTGCTTTACTTAGGTTATTTTTTAGAAAATATTTATTTTGTAGAAATTTTGTGGAAAATTACAGCCCTATACATATGTAAGTTAATACAAAGAAATCATATATTACAATTCCCCACTTCTCTGACACTGCATGGGCCTGACTCCTAGTACTTCTGATAACGGTGTCTGGAATATCCAAATCCATCTTTCCCCATGGTGCGGCTGGTGGGTTTGAATCATGACCTGGCAGCTAGAAGTCCAGCTCCTAACCCACAACGCCACAGGAAGCAAAACCACTGCTTGGGAGTACATTCTGATAGGATACAATAGAACTATCTCTTGGGGTTTTGAAGACTATCAATCTTTATGGCAGCAAACAGCCTCATCTTCTCATCTTTCTCCCAGAAGTGGCTGAGGTTTCACACCATTGACCTTGCAGTTTGCAGCCCAATCTGTGACTACTGTCCCAGAGCTCCTTGTTTCATGTTGCCATAGATATATAAAAATCTGTGATATCTATTTTAAAGTCTTTTGGAGAATACATTCCATACCATACTATTATTTGGGTATGAGTCTCTAAAATTATTTATTGATTTTCTTTATTAAATTATTTATCTTGATTATCTTAATATATTTCAATGCCACATTTGATTTTGAAAATCTACTAAAGCCGGTGAGACATGCTGACATTTGTGTATCCCAAACAACACTCCTGAGTAAAGAAAATTCTCTTTGTTTAAATATATTAAACTTTAAAGGACATTAGGAACGCATTTTTCTTTTCACTTTTCTAATCATGAAATACCTGAAAGGAGTTTCTCTTAACTCAAATAGATTCATGGATTAAATATTCAATTCAGTTTCATGAAATTCTGGCATTAATGATTTGATCTGCAAGTAGATTCTCAAGAGGCAGCTGCATGGATAATCTACTACTGACAACTATTTTACAATGTTTTTAATTTCCCTCCCAATACAATTGTACTGTTGTCTACTGTCTTTCTTAGCAGCCCACCCACACTAATGTCTCTGTTATTTACCTTTATACTGAATTTGCTACCTTCCCTCTGGCAATGTCAAAGTAATCTTCACACTGTCAATTGTGTTGGAAATGAATTCTATTAACTTCTCTTAAACACGATGTTCCTCTGTTTGGTACTTGTAATAAGGCTCAGGAGTACTACACGCAAGCAAAATGTCTCATGCTCCCAGGTCTGAGACATAGACTTATGGAGTTTCTAAAAAGTTCGGAGTTTAATCTTTGGCTTGGTATTGCCAATCATGGGGTTCTTCCTTATCAGCTTCAAGGGTCAAGCTTTCTGCAGTCTGAGCAATTTTTCAGGGTTTTTTTTTTTAGGTTATTATCTTCCTCAGTGAAGCTGTAATGCATATCTCCTCCTCAAGCTATCTTTTTCCTACCAGAAAAATAATAAACAGTACCATAATCCATACAACAAAATCTTTCTACAACCTGCTCAAATGAAATAAGAGTTTTGTTGGTGGTGGTTTTAAAGATTTAGGAATTGCTAGCTAAAGCATATTCTTCTCGACACATAGATTTTACAACGTGACTGGATCTTACAAAGCTTTGTTTGCATTTTACATTTTAGGTTTTTTTTCTAGAATTTCAATTGAAAGTATTCAAACATTTAAGATGTTTAATACAAAGGCATTTGACATATCTTGTCCTCTGTTAATTCTAATGACAACACTATACAGCTGTAAGTCTAAGATTCGAATTAAAGCCAAAAGTAATATAGGTAGGTAGCCTCCGGTGTCATAGTATCATTAACTCTTCACACCAAATTCTCTTTAACGAATGTGCAGTCACATGTCAAAATTTAGAGATATGATCTTATAATTTAACTGAAATATTTCTGGTTAAATAAGTAATAAACAAATAAATGAGATTTTAATATCTTGAACTTATTTTGTTTTAAAAATGTTTCTAAACATTATATTTCCCTTCCTATTATCAGTCCAATTATAGTAAATGTAAATTAAGCAATGTTTGAGAATTCAGAGACTGGCAGAGGTGCGTTCACATCAACACACATATAATTAGAAAATAAGAAATTGTAACAGGAGATGTGGGTATGTTGGAATATAGCTACGTCTTAAAAGTTTTATTTATGCTTTAATTCTTTTTAATACTCTTACTCCTGTCATTTGCCATTTTTTCTACAGATAAGGCCTGAAATTGACTGTCTTCTCAGTTCGCGTGGATTGTAGATTTTTTTGTTTGTTTGTTTGGTTTGGTACATGAACTTACTTTTAAAACTCAGCATATAAAATAGAAAAGTGGATGTAAAATTTGTGATTTTTAGCTTTTGCTTAACCAAAAGCTAAGGTTCAAAGAGGAGAGCTCTTTGTCTTGTTTCATTGCTAAGTCACTAGTACTTAGACCCATGTCTAGGGCACACTGAATGACAAGGATTTGAGTTTGCAGCAATGGCACGAGAACTTACAAGGAAGGGGTACAATTCATCCTGAATGATTGAGAATGTAGGTCTCTTTGCTTCAGACTGAGGCCGTCGTCCCATAACCCTGCCTCCTGCCATTGAGCCCCATCCAAAGCGCAGGGACGATGACAGGATTTCCAAGCCTTTGTAGCTCTTTATGGGATTGTAAATCCTTATTGGAGCAGAAAGCCTAATATTCCATCTTGTGATCAGCAGACCGGTGCTTATCTTACAGTGACACCAGGGCTTCTTAGACTTTTGTAATTCTCCCAAAAAAAAAATTACTAGAAACTATATTTAGAATGTACAATTAAGAATATGCAAACCAAACAATTTTTTTTTCTAAATCAAGCTATATTTGCATGCGTTGAATGCCATAAGTAATACTCTATTGAACAAGATATAGACATCTTATTTTAAGTGGCTTATAACGTGATATGAGAGAGAACATGTAAATCAATGAAACAGAGTGGAGCGAACACAACCTGGTCAAAACCTACCGTGAACTCAACATGACCCCAATACAGAAACAACTGAAGAAAAAGGGTAGATCTAAAGTTACTTAACTTTTAATCATCTTATATTCAGATCTAAGGTTATATATATATATAACCTTATATATATGAGTGAGTAATCCACCCCCCCCCCCCCCCCCCAAAAAAAATGGAAACAAAGTTTGCTGGGCGAGCATCAAGAAACTCACTCTGAGTTAGTGCACCCAGCGGTGTTGCCTAGGAAGGTTCTCTCTGGTCATAGTGACTTTTTTCCTTAAAGCAGTTTCACTCAAACCTCATTTTTTGTGATGGCCAATTTAAGAGAACAGCAGCAAACTTCATCTGCATGTCCATCAACTTCCCAAACAGATGAAAAGATCAACTCATGGTGCATTTGGAGTTAGTTCCACCAGGTTAGACTGTTAATAAAGTTTTCTATTTAGAGGTTCTGAAAAGATTGTGTACCAGTGTTGACAAAAAAGGCCTAATTTGTGGCAGATGGGGGACTGGGTTTTCCACAACGACAATGCATCTGCTCAGGCAGCCACTTAAGTGTGCTAGTTTGTGGCTAAAAACATTATACCTCTCTTGCCCCTCGCACCTGACTCACCTGACCTTGCTCTGTGCTACTTCTTTTTATTTCCATGAAGGAAGAGGGACATAAAAGGACAGCAATTTGAGGACATAGAAGAAGTGAAGAAAAATATGAGGGAGGTGCAGTCAGCCATCCAAACAGATGAGTTTGAAAAATGTTTCCAAGAATGGAATCCCAGATTTGACAAATGTCTTAACTGTAATGGAGAGTACTTTGGAGGTGACATGGTTGTTTTATAAAAAAGTTTAAATTAATAGCTTTGGGGGGAAAAAATTCTGGTTTTAGGAAGGGATATCCTCTTGACTATAATAGCTTTTCTCACTGATTTTATCCTGAAATTGTTATGGATCTCTAGAATTATTTTTCAACCAACATAAAACCTTCTTTAAGTTTTCAGAGTCTGACTCTGGACTCAAGAACAGAACAGAGACAAAGGTAAATGTAGAATCATGCTGCCACAACTCCGTATATCACCAAAATTTAATGAAAAAGATTACGTTTTTAGACTAGGTGAATTGGGTGGACAGTCAATGGCATGAAATTTTAATATTGGGCCTGGTCATATTTCCTTTCTTAGAAAAATAACAATTCCAGAGACAGGGTTGCCAAGCCTCCTCTGAGGAGTAAATCCTTCAGCCCAGCCAGACAGTTATGCACTCTCTATTCATCTCGCTGCGGCCCTGGTGATGCAGCAGACTCCTCTGCTACGTCTAAGGCCAACACTTAGAACCCACCCGCCCCTCTGGCAGCTGCTTCTATACAATGTCCAGCCTGGGAAACAAGGAAGGGAAACTGTAAGGTCACTATGAGTTAACATCAAGAGAAAAGCAACAGAATTTTTGTTTTGCTCCCTGCTGGTATCTTTAGGCCTTAGAACAAATCAACACAATAAATCACTGGGGATTGATGCTTGTTGACAAGTTAAAAAATATTCAAATTCTAGCTAACTAGCTCTCCTTCCACAGAAAGTCAGGGGTGCATGGGGGCTGACATAGCAAGATTAAAAATATTCAGTGAGTATGAAAGAGCTGGGACAGGAAAATTTCTTTGTCTCCTCAATGATGGTCCAGGTGAAGCACCTGTGTTTTGTTGTTAGAAGCCACCGAGTCAGTTTCAACCCATAGCAACCCTCTGCACAACAGAAACGTTGCCTGATCCTGCTCCATCTTTACCACTGTTCCGATGTGTGAGCCCGTTGTCTCAGCTTGTTGGACTGTTTTTGGCTTGTGTGTTGCTGCGATACTGGACGCTATGGCCCTGGTATTTCAGACGCCAGCAGGATCATCCGAAGAGAACAGGTGTTAGTGGGACTTCCAGACTAACAACAGACTCAGGTCCCCATTTGGAGGGAAAGAGCTGAACAGCTTCAAAGCACAGATGGGATAATTAAGCTTAATTAAAGTCCAACCAAGTGGACCCTCCTGTTCATGAAGAGAGCACCCCAAAGATGGCACCATTTAAACTGGCCCTAGGAACAAAGGAGTGTGTTCATTGTAAAACTTTTCTGATCGTATGCTGATTCTTTTTGTTGTTGTTAAGGTTCCTTTTTTTTTTTAATCATTTTATTAGGGGCTCATAGAACTCTTATCACAATCCATGCAGACATCAATTGTGTAATGCACATTTGTACATCCATTGCCCTCATCATTCTCAAAACATTTGCTCTCCCCTTAAGCCCCTGGCATCAGCTCCTCATTTGCCCCCCTCCCTCCACACTCCCCCTTCCCTCATGAACCCTTGATAATTTATAAATTATTATTTTGTCATATCTTTCCCTGTCCGACATCTCCTGTCACCCACTTTTCTGTTGTCTGTCCCCCAGGGAGGAGGTCAATTGTAGATCCTTGTAATCAGATCCCCCTTTCCAACCCACCCTCTCTCTACTTTCTCAGTATCGCCACTCACAACACTGGTCCTGACGGGATCATTCACCCTGGATTCCCTGTGTTTCCAATTCCTATCTGTACCAGTGTACATCCTCTGGTCTAGCCAGACTTGCAAGGTAGAATTCAGATCAAGTACAACATGAGCCCACTTAGGTAAGCTTTTAAAAAATAATGCAAAAGGGGCATAAGGAAAAAGCTACAGTATACAAACATCCCTGGGTAGAGGACCAGGTAATATGGCAGGGACCAGATCAAATATAGGGATACACATGGTAGACAACTAAAAAGGAGGTAGGGAATGGAAAAAGAAAAAAATAATAATAATAAAAAAGAAATGGGTAGTGGGGGCACAGGGCACTAACCTAGCCAACGGGAGGGTATTGTTTATATCTCCACAGGGAAAGAGGGACCAGACTTCAAACCAGTACTCCAAGATGTGAATGCAACATGCCGGCGTGGAGTAGGGAACCAGTGGAGAGGTCTGGGGTCCAGCCCACATACTAAGTGGACACCTGCCCCTCCCCCCAGACGAATTTATTTCAAAAGATGGCATTGAATCTGCAGCTCTGGGAGAGGGACATATCTGATTGGAACACACGGGTGCAGATGAAGGGGGAGGAGGAGAGAGTGGAGCACATCATGGCCCACCAAACCTTGAGGACAATGCAGCCAGTCCACAGAGAGGACCACATGGCCAGCCCCACTATGAGACATGACGCCTCACTGACCCATAGCCCTACAGGGGACAACACAGGAGACAGTGTGGGAATTGCACCCGATCTGATCCTGCCACACTGAAGCAAAACACTAAGGGGTGCAACAGAACAGCAAGAGAATGGAACGGCAGGGTCCCCAGGGAATGCTGAAGGTGGACTTTGGGGCCAGGGCGTGGTGCCCCAACAGACTGGACTGGAAAACACTCCTAAAGGCCAACAAACAGTCCTTGAACTAACTACAAGCTTTTCTTTCTTGTTGTGTTTTGTTTTGTTTTGTTGTCATTGGATTGTTGGTGTTGTTTTGTTGTATATTGTTGCTTGGTTTTGCTCTGTCTTGTTTTTGTGCAGGTTACTATCTCCGCAGGTCTGTCTAAATAAGAGGCTGGATGAGCAATCTCGAGGAGAAAACAAGGGGACTGACAGTTCCAAGGGGACATGGGAGAAGGGGAGGGGGTGGGGAAAGGAAGTGGTGTTAATAAACCCAGGGACAAGGCAACAACAAGTGATCCAAATTGGTGGTGAGGAGGGTGTGGGAGGCCTGGTAGGGCAGGATCAAGGGTAATGTAACAAAGAGGAAGTGCTGAAACCCTGGTGGGGACTGAGCATGATCGTGGGACAGGAGGAAAGTCAAGGGAATAGAGGAAAGAGCTGGGAGGCAAAGGGCGTGCTGATTCTTGTAAGTCATAAAAGGCACTTTTTGTGTGATAATGTGTGTCCAAGCTCTCATCAGAAAGATGTGATTTTTGTGGAGCAATCCATTTAAGTTATTGTTGCCCTTTAGCTAATGACCTACTAGGTACCTAATGAATACAATCTATGGGCACCACACAAATTTGCAGTGTTCCCTTTAAGTTATACTGTGGTCACCAAGGATATGTTAAAAACGCATTCAGAAATTTAAAAATACAGCTAGAATCCACTTTCTAACCTGTAAAAGAAATGCAGGTAAGTGGTAATCAGGATTTTTCTAGGGGTGTAATTTTTTACTTTTTGATACTTTTAAACTCATTAGGAGCGGGGAGGGAGGGGAAAAATGAGGACCTAATGTCAGGGGTTTAAATGGAGAGAAAATGTTTTGAGAAATGAAGTACAAATACGCTTTACACAATTGATGTGTGTATGGATTGGGATAACAGTTGTATGAGCCCCTAATAAAATGTTTAAAAAAAAAAAAAGAATCCAGTTAAATGATTACTCAACCCAGGAGAAAAATATTGATCATTTGTAATTTTGTATACTTTTAGAAAGTTCTTGAACTTCTGAATCTCAGACCCATATAGAATTATTCCAGAATATGATTCTGAATTCATAATATCAAGACACATTTTTTAATCATTGCTTCATATTTATATAACATTAAGTGTTCTGTAGTTCATACCTATACAGACTGGTGGGCTTGGCTGCCAGAAGTATCGATTTTCTACCTGAATGCAGGTTATTCTTTCTTCTCCTTGAAGTTCATACCCCGGATCACACTGGAAAACAACAGTGTCCCCAGGCTCCCTTCCATCCCCATTCCGAGTGCCGTTCATGGGAACACCTGGGTCACGGCACGCAGTAGCAACAGAACCTAGGAGAAGAAACAATAAATATAGGTGTAACACTTCCAAAATCATTTCCACAGTTTTAAACACCTTGGGTCAATTTTAAAATGTGTGTTAAATAAACTTTGGTGCTAACTTGTTGACTCGCTGCCCACAATTCAGACATGGCTCAGACTCAGAGAGACCCCAGTGGGTTTCCGAGCCGGTGACTGTTGATGGGAATAGAAAACCAAGTCTCTCTCCATCTGAGCTGCTAGTGGTCTCTAACTGCCAACCATGTAGACCGCAGCCCAACACCAACTACACCAGATAAGGGATGAATAATGGATTAGCGCAAAGTTATAAATGCTCTGTAGAAAATAAATGGTGTGGAGAAAATGAAGATATAAGCTACAGGCTGGAGTAAACAATTTACAAACGCTTATTCCACCCAATACTTGTATCAAGCACTTAAAAGTCCCTTGGCTCTTAAAAAAAAGTCATGCACACACATAGACACAAAATGCTGGTTAAAAAATGAGTCAATGCCAATCCATTGTAATGAATATTAGATGATAAGCGCATGTTCAAATCACCAATAGCCATAAGAAATATGAAAATCAAATCACAAGTAGATATTAGTATTTATAACATCAATTGCTAGTGATAATATGATCAATTTAATCACTCATGTATTTTTCTGTGGGAATGAACCTTGCTGGATAGGTGTATGTCAATTTATTACAAAACTTAACATGTGCTTAGTACACAACATATGACTTACATTCTCAGACAACTATACCACAGAAATGGAACTTTTATTCAAATAAAAACCAGTATATGACTGTCCCTTACCATCTTATTCATAAAACTTGAAAACTAAGAGGAATCCCGTAGTCTTTCAACAGGTGAATAATTAAACTAGGGCAAATCCAGACACTGGAACATTACTTAAATTTTTTAAAAGGAAGAAAAGAGGAATGGTTGATATATACTCAAGTTGGATGAATATAAGAGGAATTATGAGAAGTGAAAAATGCTAATCTCAAAAGGCTAAAAATGGCTTATTCCCACATGACAAATTTATGAGCTGAATAACAAATTGTTAGTTAGAATTTGTGGATGGAAGGAGATATGGGGCAGTGACTATAGGAGAGTAGACAAAGATTCCTGTGGTGGCATTATTCTGAACTTGGACCAGGACAGTGATAACACAAATCTACTTAGAACTAAATACACAAAGTGCATATAAAAACGGTGAAATATGAACAAATCAATGCACATTTTCTGGTTGTGACATTTTGGTATAGTTGTGCCAAATAATAAGAGGGACTGGGTGATCCATTTACAAACTCATTTTGTCTTATCTTACAACTGCACACAAATCTACAATTATCAAAACAAAACAAAATTTGTTTTAAAGGAGACAGACATTAATGAATAAGAGAATAGTAAGAGAACATAGAAAAGTGATGTATCTATATATATAGTACATGGCACATTTACTAATAGGTTTAACTCAAATTATATAACTCCAATTAGGCTAATGGTACAAAATATCATTTGAATTACCACAAAATAGACTTTCTGTAAAACATATGCCGATTAAGTATCAAGACTGAAGCTATTATATTTTCCATTTAAGCTACTATTAAACTATATTAATAAATGTAGGAATAATCATTTGAGTAATTTATCCCTTAAATTGCATAACAAAGTTATGCCTCAAAATGTTGTATTACAGACATATGACTAATAATCACTCATTCATTCACTTGCTAATAAAACATACATTAGACATTGTGCTGCTGGGAATATAAAGGAAAAAATTAGCATACACAACGAGAACTGAATAGACTTCAACCTGTTTTAAACTGTGGTGGTCCAGGTAAATATATCCTCTATCTATTCTTAAAAAGTGATAGGTTTGTAGGTATGTAGATGACTAACGCATTAATATAGCTGTAGTTCTGTTAAATCATCCACCAAATTTGTTGGAGCTTGCTGATCTAACACACACGACACAAACCAGAGAATTGACAAACAGTTTTGTAATTTTTCTTTTTAACCCTCAACACCAATATGAGGGAATTTTGAGGACACTATCAATTAAGTACTGACTAAAACATCTATGGAGTATTATGGCTGAACGGCTTCAAGCAGTAACACAATCAGATGATACATACATATATCAAAACCTGCTCCCATCAAGTGGGTGCTGATTGACAGTGATTCATAGACCTGCCACCCTGGGTTTATGAGACTAACTCCATGGGAGGAGAAAGCCCGTCTTTCTCCAATACACATCTATCTCGATAAGTACAAATTTATTTTTTCTAAGTCAAAGATAACTAAAAAGTATTAAAACGAAACCATTTATTTCTTGACCTAGCCTCGATCTAGGTCTATAGATTTGTAAAATATTTCCATCGCTCTATCACTTATGCCAAGTACTTGGTGCTCCTCAAAGAAGCAGGATCTTGCCGCCAGGCAAGGAAAGAAATGTATCTTGGGGTCTTAAAGGATTGTTTCAAAGAATATTGAAAGTACCATGGACTGCCAAACGAACACACAAGTATGTGTTGGACAAAGGACAGCCAGAAGTTTCCTTAGAAGCAAAGATACTGAGATTTGTCTGAGGACTTTGGACATGTCAAGAGAGACCAGTCCCTGACAAAGGACATCATACTTAGTACAGCAGAGCAGCATGGGAAAAGGGGATGAGGTAAGAGACAGACACATGGCTGCAAGAATGGTCTCCGACCTAGTAACCATTGTGAGAACGGTGAAATTGTGTCATTCTCTGGCACATCAAGTGAACACGAGTCTAAACTAAAGACTACATCTTATGCACAAGAACTTGCTCCACATGACTTCTTTTTGTGTCCTCGCATGAAGAGGGACGTGAAAGGACAGTGATTGAACAATGTAGAAGAGGTGAACACAAAAATGAGGGAGGTGCTGTCAGCCATCCAAATAGATGCGTCATGGAGAGTACTTTGAAGTTACAGGGTTGTTTTGTAACAAAAATTTAAATATACTGCTTTGAAAAAAATTCCAGTTTTTTGGGTGTACCCCCACATATGGATAGCATGGTTAAAATACATCTTTTCTGACTCATTTGCTGCATCATGTAGGTATCTTTTACTGTGACTATGTTTTAACCCAAGGCCAAGGACAAACATGCTTCACAGGGTACTCCTCAGTGTTATACTCTTCTGAATACCATTTTCCTGTGTAACGTCACTAAACTTCATGATTTTAATGACCCTTGCTTGATGCCCCCCTAATTTATGTTTTCATTTTTAACTTCTCATCAATCCTGATACCTTTCTATTTAACAATCCACTATTAACTTGTACATCTTAGGGTTCTCTTAATAGGACCAAAATATTTGCAAATATATCAAATCTTTTAATTTCCAGATCTTGTAACACTTTAAAAATATTAATATTTAGCACATATAAAAATGATATTTTTTTCTAAAATTGATGCTGGTGATGATTGCATACTTTTCTAATATATCTAAACCATTGAATTATATGTTATCTGAGTTATATGTCAATAAAACACTCAAAATAAAAATTAAATTTTATACATTGTACTTTCCACTTCTATTGAGGTCATTGCAAATTCATTTATATTGTATAATAATCTTTAAAAAACATTAGTTTTGTTGAAAATAAATGTAACCTTAGAAGGCAACATTATTAAATCAGAATTTAAATTTACTAAGTTATAAAATCTTACATTTTGTACCCTATGTTTTTTTTGCTTCCAGCACCTTCCTATAACATATTTTTTATGCCAGTAATTTTTATCTTATATGGTGGCTTTTATATCTAACAAAATATGTATTTGTATTTGATTATTACAGTAAAATAGAATTAAAATTGAGATGATGAATATTTTTCAAATGAAACTACTATCATTCTAACACAAATAACTTGCATATCTGTCATTTTTTTAATTAATAATTATTATAGCCCCAAATGAGAAAAAAAGACAAACAAAAAAATGCACTTTTTAACTGCTTATTGCATAGAGTTGACATATTTTTTCAAATGATTTAATCCATATGTAATTATGTATAAATGCTTTTAGACACATGTATTGAAAAAGCTTATTGTGTGGTTGGGAAATTTTACATGAATGTTACTTAGAATCTGTATTTACAATGCACTAAACCTTCTTTTAAGATCTAAATATCTTGAGTTAATTGTGTTTCTTGTTAAACACTGTATTGTTCGATGCCATTGAGTCGGTTCAGATCCATAGAGAATCTATGTACAATAATAGAACAAAGAGACTACCCGATCCTCCGCCACTCTCACACCTGTTCCTCTGCCTGAGCCCATTGCTGCCACCACTGAATCATTCCATCACATTGAGGGCCTTCCTCTTCCTTATGCCCGTCCTCTTTACCAAGCATGATGTCCTTCTCCAGGACTGGTCTCTCCTGACAATGTGTCCAAATACTATAAGATGAGGTCATGCCGTCCTTGCCTCTACGGTGCACTCTGGCTGTACTTCTTTCAAGACAGACTGGTCTGTCCTTTTAGCAGTCCTTGGTACGTTCAATATCCTTCTCCAAAAGCCCAACTGAACTACATGGATTCATCATCTTCCGTCTTCCTTACTCAAGGAGAAAGAGACGGCTCTTAACAACATGGGTTGACTCGGTGACTGCAACAATGGGCTCACAGCAGAAGAACCATTCTGAGGAGGGACAGCCCTGGGCAGTGCTTTGTTCTGCTACACAGAGTCACTATGACTGGGAGCGGGCTCAATGGCACCTGACAACAACAACAACAACAACAACAACATATAAATGGAGAGAAATCGTCCACAGTAGTTAACAGTTCATCAGATGAATATTTGTGGACTTAATGAAAGAACAGTCAAATTAGACATGGTAGTATATGTGGATGGTTTGTTTTTAATAAGTATTTCTTTTGATACACATAGAAAATGATTCCAGTGATGTGGTAGCACACCAGTAAAGTACATTTGAATTACCTTTATTCTATTTCAGATAACTTGAGGA